ATCATTAAATCGCGTTTGCATGTCCACACTATGCTGCATCTACACTGACACTTCGTCGACCTAACTACATTTTCGTAACTGCTACACCTCTCGTGGAGGTGGAGTTAGTAAATTGGTGTAGTGGACGAGTTACATGGGTAAGAGCTACATTTTAGTGTAGATGCTTACAGAGTTAGGTCAAAATAAGCTGCCTTACATTGACCTAACTCTGGCCTGGTCTACACTATGGGGTTAGTTCGAATTTAGCCGCGTTAGGTTGATTTAAAAATTACTGTGTCCACACAACCAACCCCATTCCGTCGACCTAAAGAGCTCTTAAAATCGACTTCTGTACTCCTCCCCGACGAGGGGAGTAGTGCTAAAATCGACCTTGCTGGGTCAAATTTGGGGTAGTGCAGACGCAAATCGACAGTATTGGCCTCCGGGAGCTATCCCAGAGTGCTCCATTGTGACCGCTCTGGACAGCACTTTGAACTCCGATGCACTAGCCAGGTACACAGGAAAAGCCCCGGGAACTTTTGAATTTCCTGCGAACTCAGCAGCACTGAGGTTTCAGGGTGATGAAAAGGTCCTGGCTGCCGGGGAGATGGATTCCCTTCACTGCTTGCCTGTGCATTCTCCTTCTCCTTCTCCTCCTCCTCTTCCTCATCCCTTTTTATCTCCCCCCAGGTGCAAATGTTTCTACGCTCCCCTTATCATCTCCGTCCCTGAGGTTATCAAGATTAGAAGGCAAAAAAACCACACTCGTGATGACATGTTTTCTGAGCTCATGCAGTCCTCCCGCACTGATAGGGCACAGCTTAATGCATGGAGGCATTCAGTGGCAGAGGCCAGGAAAGAATTAAGTGAGTGTGAAGAGTGGAGGCAGGACGCGATGCTGAGGCTAATGGGGGAGCAAATGGACATGATGAAGGATCTGTTGGGGGAGCAAACAGACATGATGAAGCATCTGTTGGAGCTGCAGGAAAGCCAACAAGAGCACAGACTCCCGCTGCATCCATTGTAAAACCGCAAACTCTCCTCCCCAAGTTCCATATCCGCCTCACCCAGACGCCCAAGAACGCCGGGGGGAGGCCTCCGGGCACCCAGCCACTCCACTCCAGAGGATGGCCAAAACAACAGAAGGCTGTCATTCAACAGTTTGTATTTTTAGTGTGGCTACAATAAACAATCGTGGCCTTGTCCTTCCCTCCTCCCCCACCCCATCCAAGCTACCTTGTCCGTTATCTCATTTTTTTAATTAATAAAGAAAGAATGCATGGTTTCAAAACAATAGTTACTTTATTTCGAAGTGGGGAGGGTGGTTGGCTTACAGGGAATTAAAATCAACAAAGGGAGCAGGTTTGCATCAAGGAGAAACACACACAACTGTCACACCGAAGCCTGGTCAGTCATGAAACTGGTTTTCAAAGCCTCTCTGATACACAGCGCGCCTTGCTGTGCTCTTCTAATTGCCCTGGTGTCTGGCTGCTCAAAATCGGACACCAGGCGATTTGCCTCAACCTCCCACCCTCCCATAAACATCTCCTCCTTACTCTCACAGATATTATGGAGCACACAGCAAGCAGCAATAACAATGGGAATGTTGGTTGCGCTGAGGTCTGACCTACTCAGCAAACAGCGCCAGCGAGCTTTTAAACGTCCAAAGGCACATTCTACCACCATTCTACACTTGCTCAGGCTATAGCTGAACTGCTGCTTACTACTGTCCAGGCTGCCTGTGTAAGGCTTCATGAGCCATGGGAGCAAGGGGTATGCTGGGTCCCCAAGCATAACTATTGGCATTTCAACATCCTCAATGGTAATTTTCTGGTCTGAGAAGTAAGTCCCTTCTTGCAGCTGCTCGAACAGCCCAGAGTTTCTAAATATGCGAGTGTCATGCACCTTTCCCGGCCATCCCATGATGTTGGTGAAACGTCCCTTGTGATTCACCAGTGTTTGCAGCACCATTGGGAAGTACCCTTTGCAGTTCATGTACTGGTTGGCAAGGTGGTCCGGTGCCAAGATGGAGATATGCGTTCCATCTATCGTCCCACCACAGTTAGGGAACCCCATTGCAGCAAAGCCATCCAGTATGACCTGCACATTTCCCAGAGTCACTACCCTTGATAACGGAACATCAATGATTGCATTGGCTACTTGGATCACAGCAGCCCCCACAGTAGACTTGCCCACTCCAAATTGATTCCCGACTGACCAGTAGCAGTCAGGTGTTGCAAGCATCCACAGGGCTATCGCCACTTGCTTCTCAACTCTCAGGGCAGCTTTCATCTTGGTATTCCTGTGCTTCAGGGTGAGGGAAAGCAACTCACAGAGTTCCAGGAAAGTGGCCTTATGCATGTGAAAGTTTCGCAGACACTGAGAATCATCCCATACCTGCAACACTATGTGGTCCCTCCAGTCTGTGCTTGTTTGCCTGGCCCAGAATCAGCAATCCACTG